ATCTGTGTGTTTAGCAGAGAAACCAGCTTTGGATCCCAACACTAAGAAAATGTGGATGCTGTCAGCAAACGACATGAATGACGATGACGTGGTGAGTTCAAAGGCAGTTCGATTTTTCAAAAACCACTGCAGGCATGATTTAATTTGTGGTTAACGAGTTGTTGGCAAGCCAGGAGCTTTGAATGAGCATGCTTTATCCAGCTTGTAGAATGACAGACAGAAATCTCTGAAATATCATCAGAAAATGCTGTATTGCAAATAAGAGCCTGGACTTTATTTATGACATTTTGTTAAAACTGGGTTTAAACAGCTGAAAATCCTAATTGCACGAAAGAAGCACATCATTTTTGGAGTATTTTTAAGTCATATTATTGGACTGTTGTTCAGTTTCTGACTTGTTTTGCTGTTTGAATAAGAAGCTGAAAATACTGCATGTAAACACAGCAACCTTCCTGAGTTGAGTTTGAAAAATTACGGATAATACAGAACCAAATAGAAGTAAGAGGCTTACTGTATACAGACGTAGAGTGACGACATGAAGCTAATTATCCAACAATAATTTTAAGACGAGTTTAGATGTGAAATATAAAGTATGGTAAATAGGAGTCATTTTACTGAGGGCTGTTTGAAATATAAACTTAGTGTAAAATTGTGCAACATTATAGCAACATACTTATTAGTTTATCAGAGGCTATTTCCACAAATCGAGCGTGAATAAAGTAGCTGCAGCCTCTTGATGCGGTTTGTCTCCACGCTGCTCCGTTTGCTGCAGGATCTGTTGGACTCTGACACTCTGCTCGATGAGGACGACCTAAAGAAGCCGGACGCAGCTTCTCTTAAAGCTTCAAGCTGCGGAGAAGGGACTGGCAAGAAGAAAAAAGCCTGCAAGAACTGGTAAGGTCCCGCCTTACGTTTTAAAACCCTCCTAGGTCATTTTTCACTTCAAGCTCTAAGCCGTCAGGTCAGAGAGGTCAAAGGTTGGGCTACTCTCAGATGACAAGCTGGTTGGAGTTCCAGGTGTATCTACATCTGATATATTTTCACTACGTCGTTTCAGACCGTTAATATTTCAATATGATTTATTATGTTCTGTCATTGTGCAGCACATGTGGGCTTGCTGAAGAGTTGGAGCAGGAGAGCAAAGAGAGCCCGAAAACTAACCTACCAAAGTCTGCGTGTGGAAGTGTGAGTAGTGTGGGGGGGAAAAAAAAAAAATCAAAGCGTTGACTCCTGTTTCCAGATTATTAAAATAATATCGATGTATTTTATTTGTGCTAGTGTTACCTTGGTGATGCCTTCCGCTGTGCCAGCTGCCCATACCTGGGAATGCCAGCGTTCAAACCGGGGGAGAAGATCGTCCTGGACAACAACACGCTGACAGACGCCTGAAGCCAAAACGTTCCACTTCTCTGCTGCTCACGCTTCAGGACATTTAACATTCCTCTGTTTTCCATCCACCCAGAACTCGTCGGCTCCTCTGGGGGTTCTCAGTAGACCATAAATATTGACATTGATGCCACTGCAATGTTGTTTCCCATGAGGCACCGTAACGCCGCCACGACTGGACAGGAGAGCCATTTGTTTTACAAGCGAGAACCTAAACAACTTGTTCAAAATTTGCGATCAATATATCTATGCGATTTGGTGCCTGAATTGAGAGAATGCCAGATTTTTCATGGGTCAAAAGAAAATGAAAGTGTGAAACCAGCATCTTTTCTGGCAATCTAGTAATGAAACTTTTTACCTCAGTTGAATTTTTTTTTTATATTCATTAAAACTAATCACAGAATAAAAATGTTTTTGGGGGTTTAAATCATGTTTCGACGTCAAAGCTGGAGCAGTGAACTCCATCAAAACACAGAAGGCTGCACTGAAATTGTTGAACTGAAGCTTATTTATGTATGAAGGCATCATTTCACTTTCTGTCATTTATTACAAATAAACTTAAGACCAACTCTTTGGATTTAACCCTAAGAATGTGGTGTAGAGATTTGATACTTCAGGTTTTGTCGTCCTTTGCTGTTGCCAGCAGTGTATGCCTGTCGGTAACCGATCTGTCTTTTTAACGATTGTGTGATATAACTTTGTGGAAACATATTGGACTCTCAGGGCACCTAAAGATGTTACTACTGTTTTATTCCACTCTTTTTTATTTGTTTTGTGTTCCAAACTTTGCTTTCTTCGTCTGTGTTAAGAGTTTACAGAAACGAGTCCATGTCTGATTTTCACTATAAAACAAGACGACAGTGGGTCTGTTGGAGAGTAACTTGTGCAGGAGGTTTTGATGTCTCCATATCAAAGCCTGTTTGGCCCTGAGAATTCCTGATGTTGACGTATCGTTAAAAAAAAAGGCAAACGGTAACTTCTCTCATTACAGCAACTGTAAACACACAGTTAAATATGCTCTAAATAAGAGACTTGAGGTAAAACTTTTTCAGTCAGTTTTGGATTCACATCAGTGACCCGTGATGCTAAAGTCCATCCTGACGTCTCCTAAGCTGGGCTCGAACGTGAAGCTGTACGACACGCCGGTCCTGCCGTCACCTAAACTGTCCCACGCCGACCTGAGGAAGTAAACTCCCTGTTTCCTGTGTCGACTCCACTCGCAGTCTCCCTGCAGGGAAAACGGAGAAACACCTGCCATCAGATTTCGGACAAATTTTGATGATTTGAAAAAGACTATTTTAAAGAGTGTTTCCTGACATGCTTTCACAGATGACAAAAGAAGAAGATACCTGCTCCCTGATTGGTTGAGTCAGACCCCCACTGACTGTGACATCATCAGTCAGGTGATAGTCCATCCACAAGGCAACACCGTGACATCGACCCGTCCTGAAACCGATTTTTAAGCAGTTCAACAGAAATACCAAGCGCTAACTTCTGGATAAATTAAGCAACAGTAGAAGAAAATTAAACTAAAACATCAATAAACCCGTTTCAAAAAAAACATTTTCTCCCCTAAGCTGAAGGAAGCAGATTCTACCTTATGAAAGGCAGCAAGCCCTGGCTGCTGATTGGCTCTTGAGGGACACACTGTGTGAAGTCAAAGGTCATGACTTCGGTGGGGTGAGTGAGAGCTCGACATGGATATTCCCACAGCGGGTGGGGCTCCGCTTCACGGGACTCACGGAAATCCAGAGAGCGCTGTGGAAACACACAGCCTCAATCCACCTTCTGCAACTTCAGCTCAGATTTATGAACTCTGTTCACTTTTTGTTTCCTCTCATGAGTGATTTAAAGACACAGGTGCACATTTTCAAATACAAAAACACACCTTGACGTGGTACTGTTATTAAATCATCACCCTACTAATAAATAACTTGTTAAATTTTACTTTGACCTCGATTTTAATCTTTACCTGCACCATCTCGTCCATGGGAGTGACGTCAAAGCCTTCACATATTCCACACGGCGCTCTTATTCTCCACAAATCCTAACAATAAACAAAAATAACACAATCATTTATTTCGAAATCTTAATGGATTCGCTTTCAATTTATTTTAAGTCCTGCCAGTTTTCAGCAAAAACGGAAACACCTGAAGTCTTTCAAAGGAAACAAAGGAACGGCTCTATTAGGAATGAGCTCAAAATTATACAAGTCAGAGATATCATTTAGTACTAGCACGTTAAAATAACTTTAAAGTAATTATATATATTTTTTAGAAGTGACCGAGTCGCACTCTGGCATCTCAGATCATCAAGTTTCTACGACTGAAATGCATAAAAGCTGAATTGTTCGGGTAACAACTTGTGTTGCCTTTTGGATGATATTTGATCAATCGCTCGACTGACCTGGAACTCCACGGCTACAACATGCAGGGAGGCAGAGCAGGGCAGGATGGTGGCAGTGGGCCGCAGGAGGCCCGCCAGAGCGGTCCTGCAGTACCAGAAGAACAGGGAGTGCCACGGCAGGAGGCTGGTGCTGAAGTACGGCTCCCCCATCAGGACGGAAATCTGCAGGAGGCGTAACCCCAGGTTTTAGATCGTCAACTTAAAAACATAACTGGGTCTTTTAACTTGTAGCGTGTTATTGTAAATAAATGAACCGTTAATAAAGTTACTTTTTGATTACTTTAATTGGGACAGAAAATAAACAGAAAACAACTCATTAATAGAGCTGCAAATTGTTTTTATTTGAGGTCTGGCTGTCTTGATTATTTTAGCCCAAACTTTCTTTTTTTTTTTTTTTTTTTTTTATCTGAGGACTAAAACACCAAACAGATGAAGAAAATGACTGCAGGTTGTTTGATGAAGTCCTGAATCCAAGAGAGATTACAAGATTATCCTTGTTCATCCATCAAAGAAATATATAGCTAGATTTCTACTAAACTCCAAAAGAGTGAAAGACGACGAATATGGCAGATCTGCGTTTTGACCCATTTAACAAATAAAAACTAAAAATGAATTTATCATATGTTTTCCAACTTGGTACTAGCTTGATGTTCAGAGAGGAAGATCAGAGTGAAAGATGCTTTTTCTGATAAAAACGACTGTTTTCATCCTCTTGCTCTGTTGTTAAATCATCAAATAAATGAAATGTTCTGCTGCACGGCGGGATCGTCATCAAAAGCGGCACCTGCTCTCCTCTGAGGTCCTGACTGGTGAGCTGTTCAGGCCTGATCTCCAGCAGTTCAACCCCACCTTTCTTAGAGTTGGCTTCCAACACCTGCAGATTAAATTAACAAAATTAATTAAAGTTAACATTTCTCTACATGCATTTGTAAAAAAAAAAAAAATGTTTCGATTATGTAGCATTTATTCAACAGGACTGACCACAAAGACGTTTTATTGGAGGGTACAGGTAGCTGACCCCTGATTTAGGTTTAGGTAACAAAACAAAAAAAAAAAGAAAGAAAGAAAAGCATCCAGAAAATGAGGGTTAATTATAATGTGTATCAGGAGTTTGCAGCTCCAGTCTTCAAATCCCTCTGGACTCATTCCAGCTCCAACTCGCCTTGAATTAAACTAATTATGGTCATGAATAAAGACCAGGGCTTTCCAAAGCTTGCTGATTAGCCAAAGAGCTAATTAAGACGTCCCTCTACTAATCACCACCCATCATTTGGTACCAAACAAAAGCCTCCAGACAATAACTTTGTAGTTTTACCTCCTCAATAACTTGTTTGGACATTCTGGAGTTTTCCAAACTGAACACCTGAGTCAGGAACAAGAAGAGCACAAAAAAAAAAAAAAACACATTAATACAAGAATCTGAGCAGGAACATTTGGTTTGCAGGAGCTGCCGTACCTTTTTGGCTCCCAGCATGTGAGCGAACACAGGAAGCAGACTTCCATCGCTGACAGAGAGACACACGCTGTCCTCGCTCAGGACCTGGAGGGACCACCGCTTTAATGAACGCACACAAACGCAACCGTGCACGCTCGGCCATGACGACGGCGTTCGCTTACACTGCGGAGAGCGGCGACGTAGCTCCCCGTACGCCGTCTGTCGTTCAGCTCGCCGAAGCGAGGCCGAGTCCAGACGAGGTGAGCCTGACAGGTGCAACACGGCCGAGGCGGCGGGGTCGCAGCCTGGGCGTCCTGGAGACTGAAACATCGAGACAGAGAGGTTCACTGAACTGAGGTAAACGCTACACGTCGATTAATAGGGGAAGTAATGACAAAGCGAAGCTGTCCAAGCGGACCTGTGAGGCTGCAGGCTGTACCACAGACTGTAGTCGTCATGGCAGACCGTCAGACTGAGCTCCTCTCGCTCAGCCACCTGGCGCTCTGCAGGCAGGAAGTAAACACTCTGCATCCAGTGATCCCGCCACTAAAACACACCAGCAGGACTCGGATTTACTGGAGAAACTTACCGCTGGTTTTTCCATTTTGGGCCAAATCTACGTCACAGATGTTCTCAAACGGCCAGTTTTGCCAGGATGTGTTGATAAAACTCATCAACAAACAGTTAAAATATGGAGAAAATCTCTGTCTGCATTCAGTGACTTGTATAAACTACGTAATATTGAACATCGTTTCACACTGACCGGTCCGTCCAGGATTTTAAGATTGTTTTTGTGAATTTTTTGTAATCAAAATCACTGATTTTGTAGAGCTACTTTTAAAAATGTTTGTTACTCATCACCACCCTGATCACAAACTACAACTTGACATTACATGAAGCTCAGGGAGCGTTGTGCTAGAAGTAAGGAATGCTGCCACCTGCAGGCGGGAGTTAGCGACCATACATTTTTGACCATTTCTTGTGGGAAATTGCAATAAACTCACAATTATGCACTCACACAAAAAACATGTGTGAATGTGTTGATTCTGCATGAATTTCAACCATCAGAAAATGGTGAAAAACTGGACGGACTGATCTGTAATTTGGCAGTAAACAAATAAAAACTTCTTTGATTTAATTGATATGATGATATTTAAGAACTCTGGAGTTTAGAGGGCCACATAAAAAAAGCTATGGTGGGATGGATTTGGACCCCGGACCTTAAGTTTCACACATTCAGACTCAGATATTTATGTCCCAATGGGAAATTAATTTTATAGAAAGTCACAATAAAAACAACAACACACCAACAATTAATATTTAACTAGAAGGTGTGGCATTTGATTCCACTGCTTCAATCGATGGAGGTTAAAAACACAAAACTTGTCGATAAAAAACATCGAGGAGCTGGTAAGACAAAAAAGGTGAGCAATAAATAAATCAATTCATTGCATAAACAATTTGAAATCCCTCACTTTAAGAAACGGCAACAAATTAAACTCAGTTTGTTAAACTCGTGTGTCTTAAATCTTCTGCACATCTTTTGCCCCCAACAAGCTTTAGAGTCGTCGCTCTGGACAGATCTGCCTCCTGAAGCTCTGACCAGTTACTCACCGGGGCCTTCGCCGGCTGTGGGTACGTCCAGGTGGGAGCCATGCTGCACACAATGGTTCCGCTGGGATCCATGTCCAGGTCCCACCAGGACAGAACGACCTGAGCCCGACCGCCGGCCCGAGCCACGAAGCTGGTGGAGTGGGACTGGAAGGCACTGCTGACCGGCTTGCTGAAGTCCACACTGGGAAGGAACGCAGACGGGCGTGAGCAGCGACTGCGTGACGGAAACAAGAGAGAAGCAGAAGGTGCTTCTACCTGAACATGGCGCAGAGAGGACTCAGCGGGGTGAAGCTGCTGGGGGAGACCTGGCTCAGCTGGACGTCACAAACCGAGTGAGCGCCGGCGCAGCGGCCGACGGCGGGCGGCGGGACCAGACGGGCCCCCTCCACCTCCGCTGGCTGCAGCTGGGCCCAGCTCCACAGCAGCTCCGACTCCACCAGCTGGGCGTAGACGGTGGCGCGGTGAGGCACCGCCTCGCAGCCCGCCTGCACACAGAGAGAGAAACCACAAAGAGCCAAAAGAGGTTTAAATGAAAAGCTGACGGATGAATAAAAAGGTGCAAGCATTTTTCATCTGGACAAAAATGAAGAAAAAAAAAAAAAGTTTGAGGTCTAAATCTTTAGTATACTTTCCAAGCGCCCTCTACAGGAAAAGTGCCATTGACATGAATAAAAAATAAAAAAAAAGAAAGAAATCTCCAATAGCAGGAGGTATAAAAATGGACATAATGCTCTAAAAACTACCTGCACTAATATTTTACTCAACATATCGTGTATTTACTAAATGCTGCTAAGCTTCAATTTAAAACAGAAATCCTAACAATATCTTACATATTCATACAAACAAAAGACGAGGAAAAACTTACTTAACTTCTTCACTCTGAGGCCAAATGAAACAACAAGTTGAAGAGAAATTAGATCACATCTTACTTATTGTTGGCCACAGAGCAACCTTTACTCTGCAACAAGGTGGACAGTCATTGGCCAATTACATAAACACCTGAACCAATGAGAAAACGCTTCCAAAGAGGCACAAAATGCTAATTTAAGGCATCTTCAATAACTATAATTTACTGTATATAAAGTATATCGCTTTTTCTCAAATATTTTAAAAACAGAATAAACAAAAACAACAGATTTTTTTTAAAAGATTTCTTTTAAGAAGATTTATTCATTTTATCTCAGCATTTATGTAATTATATAAAGGCTTTATTAAAATTTATTTCACGTTACCTGAATAAAACAATTAGCATTTTCTCTAGAAACTACTGATGGTTTTTAACTCATTTCTAAAACCAATACCATTTCTATTTGTGAGGAAATGTTTGTGTGGGAATAATGAATGTATGAGCGGGAGAAGAATTCAATTGCAGCTTAAATGGCCTCTAATACGTTTCTGCTTTCACAGTTTTTCCCATTAGATCAGTGTTTCTCAACCCTGGTCCTCACCGCCCCCCTACTCTGCATGTTTTAGATGTGCCTCTATTCCAGAACAACTGATTCAAATTATTGCATGACCATCAAGTGCTGCAGAAGCCTGTTAATCACCCAGAGATACAATTCAGGTGTGTGGCAGAAGGGAAGCACCTAAAACAGGCAGGGCAGGGGGGGCGGTGAGGCCCGGGGTTGAGAAACACTGCATTAGAGCTCGTCTGTCTGAGCAGCAGCGAAGGAGCGGACTGAGTTTGGAAGGTTTTGGACGAACCGTGACCAGGTTTTGGTGAGCGTGCTCGTAGCTGGGCAGAGCTCCCTCCCCGATGAGCTCGGTGTCAAACAGCTCTGTGATCAGCAGGTTGGCCTTCTCTTGCATGTCGCCGTCTGTTAAAACACAACCAGAATATTTATGAAATGAAGCCACTGAGAAAGAAGAAAAATAACGGCTTTTAGTTTCCCTCATAATAAACAGACGCCCACATCTTTAGAAACAACTTTTGATGAGTTCGCAAAAATGTCTTGAGAGGTTATGGTTAAATAAGTGGATCGGCAGCAAATATTTCCAGAAGGAAATACAGGTTTGAACATTATTAAACCTCTAAAAAGAGTAAATTTAATTACAACAAAAAACATAATAAGCGAGTCATTCCTCAGCTTAGTTTAAAAGTAAATGACAAACTAAATGTAAGTGATTTAGATAAGTTTATATTGAACACTAAGGTTGGGCGATGCAGCAGATTCAGTAAAGGCAAGTTTAGGACATTTACTGTACATAAAAGTTGTTATAATCCATTATTGAGTTCAGTTAAATTTACAAATCCTATGGCAGCCATCCTTACTATATTTAACAACTTAATTTTTTTTTTTTTTTTTTTTTTAGGTATAAAAGCATTTCTAACATAGACATCAGTAATCGGTAAAGCAGATGTGGCAGAGTTGTGTATTTCTTCTTCTCTCTCACCTGGTCCCACAGTCACATCTGACGAGTGTTTGTTGATAATCTTGATCTTGTCAGAGAAGTTGTTCTTCTTCACGATGCACTGAGCTGCTTCTGCCATGGGCTTAAAGACCTGCAGAAAATCCACACGTTTTATTGCATTTATTTAGGCTCGTCATAAAGAGTTGGTGACGTGATCTTGGTCAGTGGTTCTCAGGAAATCTTTAAAAGCTTTTCTTTCAACTTGGACTTGACTGCTTTTTCAGTCATTTTCAGATAAATACTTTAAGTTTAAGGAACCAGAATTTTTTTAGTCCCTTTTCAGGTCAATATTTTGTTCACTTCACAAACTTTTCCTCTGCTGAAGATTTTTATTTTTATTTTTTCAGCCCTGAAACTACATTTTATTGCCCAAATGTCTACTAAAAAGATGCAAACTTTGACATGGAATCCCTGAAACAAAAAAAAGGACATTCATGCTGCACATTATGTGTTCTTGCAGTAATGATTTCTTTTTTCTTTCTTCTTGTTCTTTCAAACACCGAAGTGAAGCCAGTGTTGTTTAAATTTCTCATTTCTAAATTAAGAATTAAAAAAAAAAACTATTGAGAAAAATTAAGTAAAAAGATTAACTACAAGTCTGGAATACTCTTCAAAACAATTATGCATTATGCAATATTAAAAAAAAAAACACCTCAGTTTCAGTGAAAAACCACTTGGTTGGAAATCTGCTTGATCCACTAGAAGTTCATGTGTTGGTTTTTTTTTAAGTGCATAAAGTCAACAGTATTTATAAAGGCAATTTTTAAACAAGAATGTAACCCAACGCACAAAATGCAATGAAGCACAAAGAACAGACAAAACTTTAAAGGTAAAATGACATCACAGGTCAAATGATGAAGAAATTGTTTTTGTAGGCTTTGATTTTCAGTGAACTTCTGCTGCAATTGCTGACATTTTACGGGACAAACAGAGAATATTCCTGTACCTCCACGGCGTAACAGAAGTCGGCTCCGGCAGTGGCGGCCATCATGGACAGGAGGCCGGTTCCAGTCCCGATGTCCAGGACGACGACTCGCTCGCCCCGAGCCTTTATTCTGGACACAGCAGCCCGGATGCCCTGGTAGTACTTCTCGTTCTGAAGGGGAGTGAAATTACGCAAGCAAAAAACATTTACACAACCAAACACTTTCTTTTAACATACTTTTAATAAGAAAATATTTGTTGTAAATCGTGGCGATTTGAACTTCCTTGCCGAATAATGCAGTTCAGGTGGATAAAATAGGTTTTTAGATGATTAAAAAGGCTCTAAAGACAAAACGATGAGGTAATTCATACACCATACGGAGACCATCTATGCCGTCATTAATCAACTATTAGTCGCTGCATGGATGGTTAAACGCAGTCAGAGAGCAGCGATGTGTGTGGAGTTCTCACCCTGTCGTGGTCATGCAGCATGTCGGCATAACAGGACCTGAAACAGAAACATAAACACCATCAGACTAATGCGGAGGATTATTTAGTGTCTTAATCTCACAACACTTCGATCATGACATTTTAAGAACTGTTGCAAAATCATTTCTCTTTCAGACATCAACCCTGTAGATTTGGATTGTTTTGGGTCTGTTTTTTTGTTTTGTTTTGTTTTATCTGGAACAAAAAAAAATACAGGTTATTGTTTAAATCAATGCGTAGATCTGGTAAGCCTCCAACTATCAATGAAAAATTAGAAATCGGAATTATATTTCCTTCTCAACATTACCTGACGTCATAAATAATCTGCTGCATCTCCACTATATTGTTCACCTGATACTTAACATCTAGAAATAATAAGGAAAATACATTTAAAAATAATGATCTAATTCAGTGGCCACAGATAATTTGGATTTTATTTGCATTCTAAACCTATACAGATCTGGAAAAAATGAAGAGCCCACTGCACTGAACCCCATTAAAAACCTCATGGTTATTCCACTAAATATTGATTTCTGAACTCTTCCTGAGTTAAAACATCAGAATTGTTGTGTCTAAATGAATATTAACTCATTTTGTTTGCATTATTTGAGGTCTGAAAGCTCCGCATCGTTTTGTAATTTTGACCATTTCTCATTTTGTGCAAACTAATTTTTTGCTTGGAATTTCAGAGACATGTTGTCTCTGAATAAAGGAGCAATGTTCATTTTACTCAAACACAGACCTATAAAGAGTAAAATCAGAGAAACTGGTCTTTTAATTTTTTTTTCCAGAGCTGTGTAGTTATCAGCTACAATCTCGGTTTTGACCTGAATGATACCTGAACCAGAACCTCTTTTTGTACGAGACCACCGGAGATATCAACTATCTGTTTAATGGTTTTTTAAAAAGAAGGTTTTACTTTTTTTTTTTTTTTTTTTTTTACAACTAATAAAAACTGTAACTGGTAACATTTTTTTCAGACACCATATTGGAATGACTTAAAATCCTAAGTGTTTATTTTTTACTTAATCTAGAGTGTTTTCGTGCTATTTTTAAAGCTAATTAATTCGTCTTTCTTTTATCAAGGTTTGACTATTTATCGACTATAAATGTTCTGGTTATCTCATTACAAAGCAAAAGCGAGTCAGAGCTTGGTATTGCTGGGTCGAATTCAAACTTAATATTTTATTAAATAATGCTTACTGATTTTTTTAAACAGATATAACCGACAATGTCCTCTCTAATGTGAATTTTAATGTTCATATATGATTGTTTTTAAGCCTCTGTATTATCAGAGCAGCAGCACATCGGCCCCTCGCCATAGTTTCCGTCCCGTCAGCCTCGCTCCTGGACCCACCTGGCTATCTCCTGGTGGTAGTCATACTCCTCGCTCTCCTCCACCCAGTCCAAAGCTCCGGTGGTCGGGTTCGCTCTGCCACAGAAGGTCTTCATCTCCGCCAGCACGTCCAAGGAGTGGAAAAAAGCTGATTTTAGTCGAATTATTCACTACAAATCCAAATGTTAGCAGGATTATTAACACAGCATTGCATCCATGCAGGCCACCATATTGGAACGAAACGTCACTTGCTGTTATGGTCACGTGACCAAAGTTTGTCACGTGTCAGAGAGCGTCGTATATTTTCTCATCGCTAGATGTCAGCATAGAGCTTCAGTTTATTACAGATGGACACTAATAATCTGCCCAAAATATTTGGGTGTAGTGAACCAGGGAACTCCATCCAGATTTATGCAATTTATCCGTTTTACGAAAGTCTACTTCGAAATTTGTTTTATTTAAGCTTCAATGTAACCAATTTTACAGTGCATACAACAAAAGAAAAAAACAACACATAAATACAATAAATATGGAACAACAAAAAGTATCTGGTATAAACAACAAAGGAGGAGACGACTTTGCAAAAAAAAAAAAGATGAAGTCAAGTTTTTGGAAAATAATAACCCAATAGTAATAAAAGTAATGATTTTAAACCAGTTATTATGCAGTATGTTTATCTCTTACTCACGGGGGGCCATTCTCCTGATAGACTCATGTATGTATTTACCTTCAGTTTTTACTGTATATGTCGATTTTAACATGCATCCAATAAAATGCGAAAAAATTTCTGATCTTTTTTTTTAACACAAACACATGAGAGTGAGTGAAACAAATATTTGTTGTTTTTTGTTTTAATGTTTTATTTTTAATGGACACACTGTAGATCAGAGTGGATTGAATTCCCTAAACAGGGACAATATTTGACAATAAATATCAGGTCTGAGTAAAACCATTTATATGCAATTTATAATAAATCTTTAGCAATAACTTTGAGAACCAGCTGAGGGGGAGAGACAGTCATTTAAGGCACGAGAGACCTTTACAGTGAATAGAAGTCAGACCCGAACCAGCAAGTCACAAACTTTTTCCCTGATAAGCTGCAGCAGAAACGGATCCATCGCGATCCAGAAATCTGGAAAGAAGAGGATGTTTTTCCCCGCTCAATCCACCATCTAGTCATGCACACTTGGCCGTCGGCAGGCAGAAGGCCAAGGTGGAGGGCGGCACCAGGATGTCCGTGAAGATGGGCCGGTATCCGACTGGAAGAGGGGGGGCGCTCTGCTCCAGCAGGTCCAGCACGGCCCATCGGATGTCCCTGGAGACGTCTCCACGAACGTCCAGCAGCACAGACACGTGCTCCTCGCTGAGGGGAGACGAGGACACGGCGTGTAAAATGTTTGAAAGTTCAAACACTCTGATGGTTTTGCAGATGGTTTTGTGCTGAATGAGTTTTAGAAGCAGACAGTTGCAAGACACGGTATTAAAAAACAAGCTGTTTGTTTAGACTACAAGTCAAAATTAAGTAACCCCAAAAATACCAAACAGTTTCAAAACAGGTTTTAGTTGAAAGACATCTTAATCATTTTCACATTTCCGTGTCTCATGTCGATATTAACTTTTTTTTTTCTGCTTCAGTTCGGTGATGTTGGAAGACATTTCTTTCACAGCTGGTCAATCAGTCTGACATGTTGAGTTTGACTGAAGCATTGCAACACTTCAGCATCACTTTACGTGGGGAAGGGTTACCTGATGTCCGGATATTTGGCTACGAGTCCAGAAACCTCCAGAGTGAGCATGCCGGGATCTTTGAGACGGATGAAGTCGGCCAGAACGGGGAGCAGAGCCAGAGGATTCACATCAGGAAGCGACACCTCGCTCTCTTGCTGAGACAAAAAAAAAAGTGATCGTCTGGGCTTTATAGACATGAAAGGAATGGGTACCAAAGGCTGCTGTGTTAAACTTATACTGTTTAATTTAAATTATTGATTAAATTAGAATTATACAGTTAAAAAGCATTAATACTTTTCTAATTTCTTTATGTGATCCTGGGAGAGGCGATGAATCAGGTCTTTTTCTAAGATGCAAATGGCATGCCAACTTACTTTTACACGATGGCGCATCGGTGAAAACAATATTAAACCTTGGCATGAGGAAAGGAAGCTCTGCTGCCTAGTTTCTGTTAAGGTGTTTTACCACGCCAGAAAAAAATAAAGCTGGGATCTCGTCTCGTCATGAAAACCAAAACCATGGCAGAGCAGATGCTTTTTATTTCATTTTGACTTCTGGATGAATATTCAGCACATTATTCCTGTCATTATTAATCTCCAGATCCACAACAACAATGGTATAAAACCCGCACGTCGTGATATTCATATTAGACAAGAGCGTGTTCTCTTGCCTTTCCTATTTAACGAAATAAGTGAATATCCTCACCAGGCTGTGGAAGACTTCCCTGAGCAGCTGGTCGTCCAGGATCATCTGCTGGGCCAGCTGCCTCCTTTCCTCGCTGCTCCGACACACCAGCTTCTTCTGCATCAGGGCCCGGACGTACTCCACCACCATCAGCCACTGGGCCTCCTCCTGCAGCCGCTGCAGCCACGGGGGAGCAGGACGGGGTTATGACGCAACACATGCACAGTAAATTTCATCCTCCCACATGAAACAACTGGGTCGTTGTAATACACGTATGAGACGTGTGTGTGTGTTAATCTTTTTTGTATTTTTGTCACGTTTTTTATATTGGCCAGAAAGGGTCATTCTGACCTCGTCCGTTGAGATAACTTTCTTGTATGTTTGCCGTTTCTCTCTAATGGATCGTGTTAAAGTAGCGGCTTTCTTTCAAACATCGTTCCGTTTAACACTTTTTTTTCTTGAAGTTCAGATTTGGAGTCTACAGCTAAACGTTGCCATTTCAGATTCTCCCACCTGAGCTGTGGATCCCTGCAGCTCCTCCAGAATGACCAGGGGTCTCTTGGCAGCTTCTCTGATTAATGTCTTGGCCTCAGAGCTGGACTGGGACCAAAACCTGGCCCTGGTGTTTTTGTGCCATGGCGGCTCATCGTGAATATTTATACAGCATGCAGGCAGGCCTTTGTGGCCTTTGTGGTGTTTTATGAAATCTAGTGTTTATACTGATAGGAAAACCATAATTAGATCATATCCTCTCAGTTTTTTAAAGTATGAAAAGCAGAGAGAGAATTTCACTGGTTTTGCTTCTCTGATTACCAGTGATAAATCATCTGTTTCCAAAAAAAACAACGTTTCACTAATATTACATGATAATAATAAGCGGCAATGACTGCAAACTGTAACTTTATATCTAAGAAAGAGCTGGACGTGTTCCACCTTAGTATTGTCATTTTGTGTTGTTTTTGACTGCGTGATGCGTCTGAGATTAAGTTGCTGGACTTTTCTCAAAGTAACCTTGTTTGTCTTTCTCATAAAACCCAAATGATGTTTGGCTTTGCGACTTAGCAAAATGTTAAAATGTTTAAAGCATCGACTTCTTCTCAAAGCAAACGTCTGCCGAGTGATTTTTAGTCACCTGCCGGCAGGGCGGCCGCACTCGACCGTACAAGTCCAGGTGACTTTCCAGGACGCTGCACAGTTTCGGGACGGGATCTCCCTGGACCAGCCAGGGTCGGGTCAGCAGGCTGGGGAGGAAGGGCTGAAGCTCCAGCAGCAGCTGATCCATCACCAGGCGACACGCCCGCCTCACCGCCCGGTCCAGGGCTGCCAGAGGGTTGGGGGGAGTCCGAGAGAACATCCCCGCAAAGCGGGACGACTGCTGCTGCTGCAGGCTCTCCGTTGACTTTCTGCATCGAGCACAAGACGATGCTGAACTGAGAAGGGCTGAGTGTTAAGACGACGGGAAGGGTGACGATCAGAACACGTCTTACTTGAGGATGATGCAGTTGCTGATGGAGGCCAGCAGGTAGTGGAGGTAGAACTTGTTTTTGTTGTTGTTGGTCGGATCCCTGCGGTGCTCCTTCCCAAACTCAACCAGAGCTTCCCGGAACCTGAAAGTCGCATTAAAACATGCATTTCCTTGTGTATGGAAAATAAAACATGGTTTTAAATCGGTACTACGTGACAAAAAGAACAAGAAGGAGGCTAGCTAAAAGTATGTAAAACAGATGTGTGACTGCTCAGGTGGCCTTTTGTTGAACAACACACCTGTTGAGGAGGTTCTCTACCTCGTACAGCCCCATCTGGATGGTCTGATCTCGCAGGGATTCCCCAATCATCAGAGCCACCCGGGCGTTCTCCTCCAGCATCTGGTGACCGACAAACACAGTGACACAAATTATGCAGCCTGAAAACTGCAGGAAGCATTCTTATACAGCGACGGGCACATAAAGACAGATCCCGAGAGCGGACACTGATATAGGTAATTATGATCAAATCAGTGGATTATAATTTATCTCCAGCTACATCACAATAAACGGTGTAACTCTACCACTTGTGGTCTTTTTATCATCTGCATTGAAACGCTACACAGTAGCTTGTGTTTGTGCAGAAAACTCACCTGAGTGATGATGGTGGGCAGGCTGGTTTGGTAGAATCCTTCGTGGTCCGTATCCGGCTCCTGGTCTCTCTGCCAGTCCTGCAGCTCCACCTGCAGAGCTTTGTGCATCCACTCAGATACGCTCTTCTGCAAACCCACAAAACAAAACAAAAAAAAAAAAATGAAGGAAATCAATGTGGTGCTTTCCAAAAGTGTTCATAGGACTTGAGCTTTCCTATTTTGTCTCATTACACTGGACTTTATGGGATAATTCGGGACGGAAGAGAATATTTTGAATTTTTAACAGCTTTTACTCAAAAGCAAACATGCATGAATCTATTTACTACAACACAGGCATGCAGACAGAGATATTTTGAACCAGACAACCAACCAACCATTCTTAATGGGAAAACCATGAATCATTTTCATCCACTTCACAACTATGTGCTACTTTGTACTGGTCTGTAAAAAGAAAACAATGTTCTGCAGAGGAGGTTTTTGTTCCTCCTGCTTAGAATATTTGAAATTTGTTGAATATGTATTTTAGATCTTTTGCAGTGATGCAGCATCTGAAGCTTCTCAGTAAGTCTTCAAAAACCGCTCACACCTCACCGGGGCAGAGTTAAATTCTGAGTAAAGCCAAAGAAGCGATTGTGATCGACTCACCCGAACACTCTGCACGTATTTGCTCTGCAGCTGCTCGACGCCCTCAGCGGAGATGAGCGGTCCCAGCTCCGACCGGTCCGACTCCGTGACCAGCTCTGGATGTCCCATCATGTCTGGGCTGCCGACAAAACCAACTGTTTAACGTCCACCG